CACTGAAATATCCTAATTCATATTTTTATTTATGACCATTTCCTTATTACATAACAGTATTGTTTACGTAATTTTGTGTCATATTTTATAAATTGAAGCTAAAATTATTACTGACACATGCTTTGTGTGTAAACTTCGATATTATCTTGCTAAATAATTACTTCGTAAAATTCTAACTAACTTTTACATTATGAAGTATTTTTTTAATAGAAAATTTCAATCCTAAATATAATTCTACACTTCATTTTTGTCACTGATTAGTATAATTTAATGAAGATAGACGAAGATTTTCAAAACTATGTGATATATTAGGGAATACATTGCGAACACTCTGACCACATATATATTTCAATGATTGAGATCATGGGAAGCCTGCAAGCACTGGACTGGTTACAGTTAGAAATAGGATGTCGGCTCAGTGGTCTAGAGGTTTAGTGCTGATAGGTCATCGGTTCGAATCTCGCGAGACGGGATCGCGGGTGCGCACTGCTGAGGAGTCCCATACTAGGACGAAATGGTCGTCCAGTGCTTCCAGGTTTTCCATGGTCTAGCTTCAATTGACTCATGATGTCAACTATTGCAATTACTATAATATCAACAAAAGTCCTTTTGATATTAATCAACATAGTTCCAATAATTTCCTCTTTCTATTAGATTATCCAAATTTATCACAAGGGCTAATTGCTTTAAATTTCTAAAAAAGGGGCCTATTATATTTTATTTCATTGCATTGCTTGCTGTGTATTAATTCACGTCGACGTTTGTGGATGTGTTTTCTTCATAGGTATATTCGATATCTACTCATTCGTATGGTTGTCGTGTTATTCAACGTATTTTAGAGCACTGTACACCTGAACAAACTACTCCAATTCTCTCTGAGTTACACCAACACACTGATGCGCTTGTTAAAGATCAGTATGGAAATTATGTGATTCAAGTAGGTGGTGAAAATTTTGTACCTAATATTGTTTCTTGTTTATAAAGTTATATGATGTAATTAAGAACATGGATTTGTTGTATACTCTTTTGGAACTTCTGAGATTTTTTATAATGTTCGCAGTAGTTTTGTCTTATTAGTAAACAAGTATCTACTTTTTATTGAATTTTCATAATTGGAATATATTTACAATACGGCCTTTCTACAAGTTTAACATCGTAATTGGGCAAAACAAACACAATTGAATTTCTAGAATTATGCGATTTAGCTTATACAGATTATTGATATTTCTAAAGGAGAGCGCCTAATACATATCTAATTATAAATTCATGTTTATTTTCACACATACCAATTTTTAAATACAATATTCCTCTTTTTTTTCTAGCATGTTCTTGAACACGGAAAAACGGAAGATAAGAGCCGAATCGTAGAACACATCAAAGGTCGTGTAGCTAAGCTGAGTGTGCACAAGTTCGCTAGTAATGTTGTAGAGAAAGCTGTTGCGAACGCTTCACGAGTTGAGCGTCAATCACTTATCAATGAAATACTTGAAGAAACTGTGTTAACTGAAAATCAAATTGTACAAAATGGACAAAATCAATCTAGGGAATTTCGGGTTGATGATAGTTTTAGTGAGAATGATGACGATGATGATGATGAACCCAGAACGAGAAGTTCGGTTTTAGTTATGATGATGAAAGATCAGTTTGCTAATTATGTTATCCAGAAAATGTTGGATGTTGCTGAACAACCGATAAGGAAAGAGCTTATGATTCAAATTCGTCCACATTTAGGTATTTTACGTAAATATACTTACGGTAAACATATCATTAATAAGATGGAAAAATACTACATGAAAACAAATCAGTTACATTTAGCCGTTGGACTAAATTCTCCATCACCACCTCCATCTCTAGATATTGTAAACGCTTCTTCAAACATCACTCAATCGAATTTAAATTCAACTATTCGTAGTTGTGGAAGTTCACATAGCAGTTCGGCTGCATCACTCCTCCCACCACTGTTAACTCCAACAGATATGGCTATTCGAGCTTCGAAGTCAATTTCAGTGAATCGATCCGGTCATTCACACCATTGCTATTCTAATCATATCTCTCACCATCATCAGTCGTATTTATCTTCATTTTCGCGTAATGGCTTACCATCACATCGGGTAAAACATAAAGAGTCCAATAATAGTAACTCAAATTCTCAGAAAGTTTCAAATGAGGAAATGCAAAGTAGTTCTACACTTATGTCTGATAGTACGAGTTCATCCAAAGAGACGTTGGAAGTGCATAGAAGTTTTGATGACGAGTTCTGTGGTGGTGATAATATTAGGTCCTTAAAAAGTAAACATGAAAAACACAATTCCGAATTAGAATCATCTAATTTTAATCAAACACCAACGACTACGAATGAACGCTCCAATAGGAACTGTGACGATAATAAAGGAAAAGTAAAATTATCAGATCCAGACAGTACTAGTCATTTGTATCAAGTAGTCAATGATGTATCAAGTGATTTTCGAGTGTCATCAACAACAAAATCTAATATTCCAACATCTACTAGCGTCAAACTTAATGAAGTAGATGTTAATGGTGGAAAGTCAAGAAGTGTCGGTGAACTATTGACTAACGGTAGTGATCATTAATAATGTTTGCTATACCTTTTCCTCTTCCTTTATGTCAATTTATCTTCTTTTTCTTAAATCCTTTTTTTTCTAAATGTTATATGATCATCAATTAACCGTTAGGAAATTGCTTATTTGATAGTATCTTCCATGTTTTGTATTTTATCAAGCTTCAATTCCTTGTGCAATGATCTATTTATCTCAAACTATTTTAAAAAGATTTCCTCATGTTCAGCAAATATCATTCTCTTGCACAGACGATTTATTATGTAATGTTTTTTCTCTCTTTTTATTATATATTTTTTTAAGAAAAATTTCGACCTTCCATTGTCTCATGTATATGTACGTATAAGCTTTGATTTTTTTCTTTTTTTTTTAATGCAAAGAAATGTATGAGACCTCCTTGTAAAACATAACTTTTCACTGTACGTGATGTTTACTGATTAATACATGGATGACGGGTCCAGGTTATTTATATATACATACATTCTATTGTTGCGTTTCATTCTCTTTCACCATACTACCCTATCGTCGTCAGTTGTGTTGTTATACTGACATGACTGATTCTGTATTAATGGTACACTTCACTTGTTATTTCTTTCGGTGTATGTTGTTGTGTAATCAACTGAATATCCTTATATGTAGTAAAAATTTCAATTTTTATTCAATGTATGTGCATCTACTGTAAATCTGACTATTCTCAATTATGAATCTATTATATGCCAATTCAAGTTGTATTTATACGTATATATATATTAATAATCTTCATTTCATATTAACCCCTTTTTTTAGTTCCTGATGTCTGATCATCTTGGAATTGTGTATTGTTTTCTACAATAATAGAATGTTTGTATTTAGTTATTTATTATTACTATATTGGTTGAAGTCATTTTGTAGTAACTATCCTGTTTAATCAAGCTTGTCTTTGTATACATTCTGTACACCATTTTAACTTTTATTTGTTTCACTTGTGTGTTTGTGACAATGTGTTATTATTACTATTATTGCTATAACACTCTCCCAAGTTCTTGATACTTGTAATAATATGTATTTTTCACTGTTCTTTCACTATGAAAAAATTAATCGTTTTCACAAATAAAATGATATATATATATATATTCTCTATTTATCATTGTGTTTTGTTTATTATTCCATTCAATTGTAAACAAACTGTCAGTGTTGGATATCAGTACCTTCAATCTAATTACATAATCTACTAATTATGCATTTGTTAAGTATATATTTTCTTTATTTGCACAATGGTTCGTATTAATTAAAGGCTTTCCGTTATTATCTTGTTAGCTTACGTTATCTAGTTGATTTCGTATCATTTTAGTTTTTTCATTAGGCTAACAGATTTGATATAATTAAAAAAACACAACTAAATGTTCACAATTAGACTTTTGTAAAGTTATCGTAGATGCTTTGATATATTTCGGCGTAATACGATTCATTTGAATTTGAAGGGAATCAAAGTCGTTTTGTTTTGCTCACTTATGCCTTTGGAGTCGTCATGTACCTCGATCTTTGACGACTATCATTATGTTTTTAAAGTTTTATGTGTATTTGCTCTCAAAGTAAAACTAGGAAACCGTGATGAATATTCTTCCACAGCTCTCATACTCGTTGACAATATCATAAATTGACTACCTTCCTGTCATTTACACCCAGTCCCAGCGTCGATAGATAAAAAACGATATAGGAGTTAGTAGGATAACATTCATTGTATATGTATTAAGATATACAATGCGCTTCATAAACAACAGATATAAAAATTATATGCATAATGAATTAGATACTTTACAGTGCCCTATATCACCTGAAAGTTAGTACAGAATTACGGAGGTGACATATAACTACGAATTCTTCAGAATTCACGATGAATTCAATTTAGTATTGCACTCAAAGCCCTGGTACGGCTGAGGGTGTGGAGAGTTCCCTCACCTTCTCGAAAAGCTCTTACATAGCCATACGTACATAAAAATTCCTTCTCGCGGCGGGGTTTGAAAGGACAAGCAAGTGCCCGGTGCTTTAACCAAGTAAGTGGATGTGGACGATTCACCTAGTGAGGTTGGAAAACCGTGATTCCAAACCACGGCTCCAGGATCCTACAAGGACAAATAGAGATTGCTTATGTGTTTAACTAAAATAAATAATTTGGCATTAAGACACCCTGGAAGATGTAGAACTCGATATCAGTTCAGTCAGTTAATAATAAACTTACTGAAAGACACGTAAACTAGGAGGTAGATCTGAATCTAATTTGTCCATAACAAATTAACCAGGAGGAATGAACGTTAATCACATGACCGCGTAAGAGGTTTAAGTTGGGTACTAAAGTCAAACTCATTATCAGAACAACAAATTACATTTATGCAATTTATCAAAGAAACATTTTTTATGTACAATATAATCAGAAAATTAAAAGACCTAACGTTTGATAAAATTATCATGAAGCTCCCCTTTCTGACGATTACTAGCCTTACGATGAATACCTTCTTCTAAAGTAGTCCTGTCAACGTGTTGGTTTTTTAAATGACTAATAAATGATGGTCCATGAGAAAATTTCGAGGCTAATTCCCTTTCCTCTTCATTCTTTTTTATCTTATAGTGAGTAGTGGAACGATGTAAACGTTCTTTTTCATGTTCTTTTGCATCAGAAATCATCTGGGCTCGCTTAGCTTCGATTTCTTCTTTGGATAACTTTCGTCGATTCGATGATGATTTGTGATAGTTAGATCTTTCTGAACAGGATGAAATTGATTGATTACGTTCTGAATGATGTTTTCTGTTCACATTTGAACACTTTTGGTCTGAAAGTGCATGTTCCTGATCACAAGAATTTGAAAGTTGTTTTTTAACAGTACTAGATGATTCTTTACTACATTTATCCATAGATTTCTGTGAGCTATCCTCTTTCAGTTCATTAGATTGATGAATAATTTCAATGAACTTATTCAGTAATTCATCATCTGAACTACCTCCCTCTGATTCATCTGAACTTTTATGCAGACGTTTTTGTTTTAAATGTTTTTTACTTTTACGTTTTTCTTTACGCAATTTTTGCTCTGTTAGCTATAAAAAAATATTATCAAATGATTGGATAGACCTTACAAGTCTTCGAAGTTTCCTAACTTTAGCTGTATTCTGAAGCAGTTCTATTCGTTTTTCCGCTTCTCTTTGCCTATTAAGTAAATGAGTAAAATACCTCAATATGATTTAAATAATCACTTCATAATTGTCAGGGGATCTTCACGAAATTTGGCTTCCATATCAAATCTAGCAAGTCGTTGAGCAGGTGATTCGTCATATTCTAAATTAATTTTTTTTTTAAACTCGATTTTTTTCTTTTACCTTTACCAATTTCCTGAATTTGGTTTAAGCTTTGAACTTGTTTTCCCAACAAAAATGCTTCAGGATCATCTTTCGGTTTCTCATACATCCATGAATTTTCATTTGTACTCCTAATAATGGGGAAAAGTAAATTTTATTTAGATGTTTAAAAGTTTACTTTTTCTCTGCTAAAAGAGCAGCGATTTTCATACGTTCTTCAGGAACCTAAAACAATATTGGAAACAAAATAGATTATATCGCTAAAATAACTTATAGTAAAATAATACAATCAGAAGAGTAGGCGTAATTTAACGAGCAACCCCAAGATTATATTTATCATTAATTATTATGCACTGAAAAGTTCAAGTTTGCATAAGCCAACCGAGCTTACAGAATCCGTATTGAGATTTCGTCAGATGACAACCCACAAGAGCTGACGAGACTTCTGAAATAAGTGAAGCAGTCCATGCACTCAAATATTTCGCCACATAACATTTTAGTCACTGACATAGATCAGTCCTAAAGTAACACTTTGCATTGTCCCTTAAGGAAATCAAAAGTCAACCTTATGAAACAAGATTTTTACCCGTGTATTTTAAATGGATAGCCTCCAAGTATCCTGATACGGTTGAAGGTGGAGAGATCCAGCTCGCCTTCTTGAGATGCCTTCATATTGCCACACGTATATAGCCACTGCTGAGAAATCCTACTCACTGCCTTCTCGCGGCATTACTGTTGTATACGAAATTGAGAAGACGGAAATAGAAGGTCCGGTGCTTACACCTGTTCAGTGACTACGCAAGGTTCATCTGGTGGGGTTGCAAAACCCTAATTTCAAGCCAATGGTGTACTTGGGCTCCAGGATCCTGAGGGAAAAATGGATCGTGAACCCATTCTTGGCCACCGTTTATGATGGGACCGCATCTCTTAACGTCGTTTTACTGCCTTGGGGATTTTTCGTGCTTTGTTGATTTGACACCAACTTGATTGAATGGTGATGTTAACAAGATAAAAATGCCGCCAACTCTCGTATATAATTATCGATTTAGTTTGCGTTAGAGAACAACGGAATAAAATAAGTTGAACATGAGAATTTTGGATACGTATACTTCACACACCTATTGACCCCGAGCAAATGTCACTCAATATTTATAGCCAGATAAAAGTAAGCCAAAGATGTGATACATATACATATGTTCATATAGAGATAGTCAAGGTTAATAAGCGAATAATTGACAAGGTCAAAATGTGACTCAAGAATAAATAACGTGGTCTGTCCGGAAGCTAGCGTTCCCATGTGGGCTTGACATAGTGCTAGATACTACAGATTAGACCTCTGAGTCAAAGGTTTATTATTATTTTATTTGAACACATAGATATTGCTAAAAGTAGGCACCAAATACATATGCGCCACACAAATCTCACTTGATTTGTTTGAGGGCTGTGATACTGCCCGGGTGCCCAAACCGAAGCAGGTGGTTTCCTTAGGAGGCCACACTCGGAGACTTCGACCTGAAGGTCTGATCCACAAGGCAGTGGAGCATTGTAAGGAGATGCAGTCCCATAATAGCCGGTGACCAATGATTGGTACATACGCCATTTGTTCCTTCAGGATACTGGAGCCCATGTGCACCGTTCGTTTGGAATCAGGGTTTTCCAACTCTTCTAGGTGAATTCTCTGTGTCCACCAACCCGTTTAAAGCGCCGGACATTCGCTTTAGGTCCTCTCATTTTCGTAAACAACACCCCGGCCACGAGGAGTCAGCGAGTAGGACTTCCTTGGTAGAGGCTATATACTCGTGGCCATGTGAGAGGATTTTGGGAGGGTGAGCGGACTCTCTCCACTCTCGGACGTGCCAGGGCATTTGGGGGCCTGGGTCAAAGGCTAGGGGGTCGAGCCCTTAAAATCCACCTGTTTAGGTTTGAGAAGCTGGAGGGTATCCCAGCTCACAAGCAAATTGAGTGGTAACTACGTTGTGTGGGGCATATATATTTTGTTGCGTTTTTGTACCGATATTTATGTGTTTAAATAAGTAAATAAATTCAAGTGGATAAGTGAATCGCCTAGTTAAAGATCAATCCCTGAGGGATTAGACAGAGATACTATCTCATGAGAAAGTTAACTAGAAATGCGAAAGTAAGTAGCCCCGACGAACACCATTTGAAGTTGATGGTTCGTCACAACCATTGACTCGACCAAAAGTGTTCGAATAGAAAATTTTATCAAGGTTCATGTACCTCTTTGAAACTTCTTTCTATGATTAACACTGCTATGTGAGGTTTTCATTAACGGAACCGAACGCTGTTCTCATGTCATGAAATGCCACTACTATGAGACGATAATGGGTATGGGAATGCTCTAGAACCTGACAAAGGGTTGGTATCTGATCAATACATTCAAGTTCAAATTTGAAACCAATCTGACTTTCTTGAGCCCAACACCACAAGCTTCAATTAAGCTCCAGCTGATTATTGAGGCTAATATTTCAGATAAAATGAAACTGCCGGAGCAAATTCAATAGTGGAGATAGTATAGGTACCATTAAAAAGGTTATGCAACGAAATTCTAAATTAGTGAAATGAAAAAAATAGAAGGATTTTTAAAACATAGGATCTAAAGAAAGCTAAAGAGTGAATCCATCTGCGCGATTGTGAACAATTTCGAGCCATATCATACAAAGTCTCTGACCACTGGTTAAGATAATCACGAGGAACCTAACCAGGTAGTAGCCACCTACCATACAGCTCAGTTCAACAGTTTGCTTCTTCGTGCACTAATCCTGTTTTGGTTTTGCCGCCTCTAGCTGTTTTCTAACTTATTTCTACACTAGACAAATGCTTTAGTCCTTATTGTATTCCGAGCCAGATGAGATGAGACTTCAAACATTTATCAACTGAGTAAACACTACTGAAATCTATTATTTCCCAACCTTATAGTATGAGTTACTGGTAGATCTCACTGCTGTTTCTCCGGCTGTCTGGATATTATGCTAATCCATATTGAGATAAGTGTCACATTAGAGGTTGACTAACTGCTTTCCCCATTGTTTCTGAAATATACTATGTACTTCATAGTAAAGCTGAACTATTTGGGGTCTTCTTGATCTAGATTTTCTGGGTCTAGTATGACGCAAACAAACACGTTCTCTTACTGGAGCAGGATCAGAGTCTAGACATGTGCCACAGAATGAGCAGCAGTCTCCTATTGAGCCTCTCCAACGATCACTAATCACAGTATGGTCCTGATTGAGGCTATCGTTGAGTTAATTCTACTGGTCGCCATGTCGGACGATGTCTCTCCTTATGCTTAAAATTGATACTTTTTAGGAATAAACGGTTGTCTGGACAGATGCTCGTCGTCATCTGTTCGTTGGGCTGGGACACAGTAAGGTCCATCTAAATGTCTTCTATTTCACTTGAAACTACCTACTTGGGTGATAAAACCACTGCTACAATTCAGTCAGTCAGTCAGCTACAACGTAGGACCAGGCACATATGTGCATCGGTCCAGGTTGCCATACCGCATCAGCACAACAAGATGAACACCGGATTCATAGCAGTGGTTAGGTCAAAGGTAGTAATATGTAAGAGAAAGATTGCATATGGAGATATAGTACAAGAAGAAAGAATTGGTTCGTAGAAAGAAAGATGTGAAGCGATTTTAATCTCTTAGTTTAAGGGAAGACAGGGAGTGTATACACCGACGCCATTGTGATCGATTCTGAGCCATGTCACCAAGAGTCTCCAACCATTGGTTACGATAGTCACGCGGACCCCAACCAAGTAGTCTGCATCTACCAACATGGCTCAGACTAAAAGTTAGTGACTTCAAGCACTGATGCCACGTTTTGGTTTGGCCACCCCTAACTTTCTTCCAACCATTTCCAATATAGGATAGCATTGCACGTCGTGGTAATCGGTGTTCAGGCATACGTAACACGTGGCCCAACCATCTCAGTCGATGAAGATTCATAACCTCATCAACTGATTAACCATCATTCCCTAATACCCTGCGTCTAACCTCACTATTACTTACCCGGTGATCCCAGCAGACGTCAGCAATATTTCTAAGGCATCTGTGGTCAAATACTAATAGCTTACGAGTGTCTTCTACTCTTAATGGTCATGTTTCGCTGCCGTAAATTAAAACAGAACGGACTGCCGCGCAGTATACTCGTCCGACCGTTGTTGCTACCTTGACGTGGTGGTCGGGCTTGCCTATCGTGATGAAGCAACCGAGCTATACTGACTGGAACAACCGTTCCTCAAGGTCCTACCATGTCAGACAGGTCGGTTGAAGAGCGTTAAGACTAAAAGCAACAAACCCAAGGTCCGAAGGTGAAGTCGTACTGCTGACTGTACAGAGGTGTGACAGCAGTAAGGTGTTTCCTTCAGACAACCAGCATGACAGCGATGCTGCCTTCCCACAAGGAGGGGTGGGGTTAGAAAAGGTCGACCCTAAAAATGCACACCTCACCTTACCTCACGGATTTCCGTCTCCGGCGGTAAGGCCCTTTGAAGAACGGAGCTAACACGTCAAAAACCTCCCACGAAAAGGCCGTGCGCGACCGGCCTCAAGCAGTTGTCCCTTGGGTACTGCGGTCACGCTCTCAGGTCACTGAGACCGCCTCTAATCCAATTTCCTTTTCAGGTACCTCCAGAAGAACCCTTCCACGGTGTGGGCAACCGGCGAGTGATAACCGCCCTCATACCTCTAACAGCACTCGAGACCACTGTATTCATAATCAACCTTCCTCTTCAATTCCTATTATTCCTCCTACATCGACTTTCAACAACTGCTACAATTACGTCTAAGTGTTTGACTTCTTGTAGAAGAGACAGTCCTTTTTTAAAACTCATCCTTCAATTGATCCGAACTGCGATCATTGGTAACGTAGGCAGAGAGGATGAAGAGACATTGGTGTGTAATTAATCCACCGAGTTCCTATTATCCTTTTAGTCAGAAAGTGCATGAGCTGCAATCTACCGAAATTTAGTTTACAAGAACCTGCCCTGTTCAAAACTTTAAAGCCCAAGATGTACTTCAGAGTGTGGTACTAGCATACTAAGAGTAACACTGAGGAATTGAATCGCTAGCGTTGGCAGGACAAAGCTGGAACTGTAGGAGAAGACTTTATGGTAGGATTAAAAGAAATGTCGAATTAGATGAGTACTTTATTTAGGGTTTCCCAAAGGCTACCCTCATCCAAGAATGACCACGAATCCGCAAGCCCTAGTACATGACTAGTAGGATGATTGAGCGAAAATTTAAAATTTTCAGTTCTGCGCTCTATGTGATATTTAGGAAGCACACTATTAATTCACACGGTGTTTTGGAAAAATGGCTACTTTTTACTCATCCGGTTATATGATGACTGTTTCGATTTCAAGAAATTAATAACCAACTGAAATATTATCATATTCTCAAGATTAATGGTTTCAAAAACTCACCGTACGTAACCTCAAAAATTAAATGACTTACAAGATCCTTCAAATTCATATTGCAAGTGAATCGAAATGTCTCTCTCTATCCGAAACAGTAGCAGGATTAGGATAAAAAAACTAAAAAAGATAAGAATGAATAAAATATGACTAAAATATATATACCTAAGAAGAATCTTTTGTAAAAATAAATAAGGCGAACAACCCGAAAGCAAATAAACTTATGTGCAAATTAACAACTTTCATAACGACCTGAAAATGGCCCAATCACAGGAAGTTTCATTAACGTGTGATATGCGTTTAGAATGGTCTTTCTCATGAAAGCTAGTAGAAGGTCAAACATATGTCGAAAAGAAGTTATGAAATGGGAAGGTTGCGCTACCAGTTACATCGTGATATGAAGTGGAAAATAAGAACCATGACTTATCTATCTCCCTAACCTGCCACACACAGTAGTGATGCGACAAAGGAAAACAAAAGGTACAAAAGAATGTCAAGCGCATTATGATGATAACGAACTATAACATAGATGGAAGTGAATTAGAAGAGAGGAAAAGCATAGGATTTTAAAATGCAGATGGTATATTTAAGTGTCTAGCACTGTTTTTTTAATTTTTTTCAGATTTCGTGAACTTATTTCCAACCTTATCGAGGAGAAAGAATTTGCGTAGATGATGAAAACCAACTGCCAGAGTTTATGGGTTTGCAAAGCAGCATGTCCGCCCTTAATCTATTCCAGACACGTCTGCATACGAGCTAACATAACATATAGAAGTCGTGTGTGTGTACAGGCACGTAACATATCTCAACTAATTCAAACAATGATGGCTTAAGATCGAGTTGGCCACTACCTTGACTAATCAACTACAGAGACAAGGCCAAAAGGATGTGCATTTGTAAATACTTGTTTGTATGCTATGTCCAGTAATTATATTTTGTCATAGGACATAACATTGTAATTTTCCGAGACATCCATGATATTCAATACGGATAAATATGTGTCACACGTGACAGATGATGTAATTTGGCAAGATCAACACTTTGTTCACTCAACAAACGAATGGCCCCAAAATTAGTTGTGGTGGGATTCAACGTATTTAAAATCTCACAGAAAAATCAAGTCACTATTTTATTATACTTCTCTTCTCAAGATTCTCTCATGCATACCACTTTGCACACAGATGGACGAGACGCGTAATGCTGCAAATCCATTAGTTACAGCAAAAAGACAAAACCCAAAGGAATTTATTCCATACATAGATAAGTTTCGATCGACTATACGACATAATGGACCGGCTTAGGATCTTGATTTGTTTCAACGGTAAGGAATTGTATATCAGTTTTGATGGGCTGATAGCAAACAATACCAAGGTGTTAAACATTAGAATATAGGTAATAATCAGAACATAAACCAAAGTGAAATATTTGAATAGTTGGTTAATATTAATTAGCGACTCACTAATACAGCTGGAAGTTAAAAGGAAACAACCTCTAGAACTTGAAATAAGCGTGATGATTGGACAAATATAGAACTATGGTTAAGCTAGGTTCGAACTAATAAAACATGTTAAAATCGAAGTATTTCTCAACGTTGAGAAACGAGTACAACTAAATTCAAACTCGTGTAAGAAGTTACCCTGAAAACACCGCTTTTTGACTGATCAGGAACGACAACGTTCCCACTCCCGTACATATATATCTACACATTCAGTAGACTATAGTCTAGTGTATACAGTTGATTACAATGTATATTGATATACATATATGTCTGATAAAAAGCTTGAATATCAAAGGAAGAAACTTCACAAGAATTTTTTTTAGAAATGTGAATCAGTAGTACTTTGTAAGAAACTGTTATTTAAACTCCTGTCTACCTTGTGGAATGTTACGCAACTAGGGTAAGAACTCACAGTAGCGCAGGCTTCAAACTTCCTGAGGCCTTTTGGGAAGCATATTTGGTCGTATGTGGTGTTATCTTCAAAGTGCTGGAATGAAACTGAGACGATTTCGGTTTCTAATAACTTTTAATCAAACGATTTTATTTATGGCGAACTGGAAATTACTCTTAGACCAAGGCCCACAGTTTTGTTCTTATTCTCCCAGAGTAGTACGGATTATTTTCTCTTAGGATTACGAAAATGTGATGTTTGAACGAACTAATAATACCTTTGTACTTGTTGAATGCTCGGTTTCGAATTCCAAATACACTACATTCGTTTGTGCTTGTGTTTCACTTCTTAATTCAATTGCGTTAATTCTGGGATTCCTAGTTCATAATACAATTCAAATAATTCAAAACATTATATTGGCGTCGCGATGGAGCCTGTAATCGAAAAGTTAGATATTCATTCAACTTCGGAAGCTTTTGAAGATTACTTTGAAAGGTCCGAACTCTGGGCTATGACCAAGAAAGATGATGAGGATTTTAATATTGTGGCACACTTCCTCACACTCATTGGAAAAGAAGCATACAGCTTTTAAGAATTCCAACTGTGCCGGAAAAGCTCATTTCGCTTCCTTATACAACTCTCAAGGAACTGCTGCTAGACTATGTTAATTATACAAATTTCGAATGCGGTAAAGGAGGAAGATCTCGTAAAATGATTCATGAGGATATAAAAAACACCACTACATTACTACGTCATCCCAACCCAGTGCATACTCAAGGTTATGCAGACAATTCATTGAGTTTGGATGCAGTTCACGAGGATGGGGACAAGTTTGGTCAGTGTTTGTCCTGTTGCAAGTTCCAATCTTCTAATTCATGTCAATTTCGTAATTCTAAGTGCTTCAAATGTCGTGATATTGGAAAAGTTCAGTCGGTTTGTAATGCTAATGTTCATCTTACTGCAACTAATATTAAGTCCTGTAATTCTGATTCTACTGAGTCTAGTATTCATGATGATCATTTATCTTTATCAACGATTTCAAAAGACAGTGCAGAGTCGAATTGCAGTTCAGAGTTAAATGAAATCCAGAATTCTTGTGAGACAACAGTTCCTAATCAACCGATTTATCAGAATTCTCATGCTATTGTACCAGGTATGACTTTTCCTAATGATTCACATATTTCTAATGAAATTACTTGCAATTCTGGGGAAAATATTTTCAATGAACCTAATCATGATCGAAAACCTGATGTGGTTTGGATAGATGCTGATTTTTCTAACGATCCTACGCTCTGCAATGACAGTCCTAATGAATTTCATAAGAATATTTCAGAAGAATCAAATCTTGATGTCATATCATATATTACCTATCCTCATAAAGCATTTGATCCTAATGAAAAACCTGCTCAATGCGGAGCACGAGTACCAAGTGACCTCGAGTTTGATTACATTTCGGATGATTTCATATCAACTGCTGTTTACCCTTATCACAAAAACAGTTCTAGTGTTTACTCTAAACAATGTGAGAAATATGTTTTAAATGAAGCCACATTATTCATAACTTGGGGATATAAAGATCCAACATTATTTCGTGGGGGAGGATAATGTTGAAAAATCTATGGTTCAAATTCTAGATATTAATGATGTAGGATCCAAACTACGGTTTGGATGTTGAAGAATAGCCGACCGGGGACTTTAGACACGCGCCCTTTCCCGTCGAAATCAGAACAAGTAATCGGGTAACTAGCGGTTCTATAATTCATAATAAATTTAATGTAAATCATTACCTAAACAAATATTATCACCCGGCTATTCAACCAATGATTGTTCAATCAATTAAATCTAAATTACAATAAATAAAGAAGTTGATAGAAGATGAGGAAAAATTAACAATCACAACAAATCAACGTTATTCTATCCTGGCTGGATAGATCACACACAACAGGAGGAACAAATCAATATGGCTACCGCCAAGAACAAGTGTCAAGTAAAACAAAGCAGATGCAGTTCAGGAAGAAACACAAACTTAGTGAATGTGTAATAAAAACAAAAGCTATAACAAAAATACAAATATTAACAATTCAAATGTAATCAAAATACAACAATGTACAACTAGTGTGATCAATAGTACAAGTATATACATGGAGGGATTTTCACCAACACACAAGACCTTCAAAATGGATCTTACAAATGATTTCAGTACAAAACCGACATGCTGGTTGTATACAATTCCAGGTGAGTTTGTTCCGATTTCGTTTGTTAATTTGTAGTGGCATTGGACAATAGCCACACAATCCACAAAGCTGTGAACACGAGACTACACAGAAAATAGATATTCAATATTTAACGCGGAGAAATACCTAACAATGGAGAAGGCGCGGAGAATGAATTGAATGGACTGGAGTTGATCGAGTGGCATGGCTCGTCCATGCGGGCGTGGTCCATCTCTTAGTTTATATCTTCTATTCATATTAAATATATTGTTCTTTCTCTAGCCTAACCTTGTTCCTCATCATGTATTGGTAATTGATACGATACAGTGAGTTGGTGTAGTCGATGGTGTGACTTCCACGTAAGATCTTATAGATTAGGCAGTTATATCATGACGAATCTACAATTTTGGGATTAGGTCTATTATTAGAGCAGTACTAATATCATAGTAGACCATAATTCTACAAATTCCAATACTAATGAGCACTTTCTGGATACTACAACGTTTTTATCTTATACAATGTCGGACAGACTCAGGATGAACTTAACAAGAAGACGTACAACCGATTACAAACACTTGTACTTCTATTTAAGCTGTGACGGATGTGGTGTTTGAACGAACTAATAATACCTTTGTACTTGTTGAATGCTCGATTTCGAATTCCAAATACACTACATTCGTTTGTGCTTGTGTCTCACTTCTTAATTCAATTGCGTTAATTCTGGGATTCCTAGTTCATAATACAATTCAAATAATTCAAAACATTATAGAAAAGCAACTTCCATCAGAAACACCTACATATATTTTTTCTGTAGAAATAGGGTCTCAGTCTGGCATATTCAGAGGACATATATCGTATGCATATGGCCATAAATCCATCTTTATATTTCACACGACCAAATTCTATCACTTTCAAAACATGTATAATCATATATGATGAAGGGTTGTATTTCAGCA